GCGTTTCCCAATGGCAAGTTTAAATCACGCAAAGTGCGATCATTCTGAAATTTAACAGTTTACCTCCAAAACTTTGTTGTTTTCACGCCCAGAAACAAAATTTAATTAACTACATAATGGCAAAGTGAACCCCGTCTCGACGAATAAATCGCTAAGAATAGGAAGATCGCCACAAGAGGATTACTAACACTTCCTTACCTTTGAGTACTTCTAAATGCTTCAATACTCTGCCGATTAAACAAATCGTGGGCAAAAACCAATCATTGACATTGGACCAATCTTCAATAAATGCATCAACTGTCCTCGGTATAATGGAACCAAAAATGTGAATTAAATCTTACGCACTTTGCGTTATATGACGGTGCAAATCATTCAACTTCGAACGGACCTCACTTACCTAATCGAAAACGTTTAAACATCCTAAATTGGTTGACCATTTATCTACATCGACCATTTTACTCAAATGCTTTCTTATTTGCTTTTCTAAGAACCCAGTCTAATTCCGGGCACAAACTTCAAATATATCTAAGGCAATCCCCTTTAAGTCAGACTTCATACTCCCTTTGTGTACAAAATGAACCACATTTTGTTTGTCGGGGAACCACTTCATTGTAAGGAATTCCAGTAAGTGGGTAAGACTAAGTTGAGCTCCAATACTCCTTGTCCGAATTCCACATGCTCTGAACAAAATATTCACCACATTCTACAACGTACCTAGCAAAGCCAGTGACAGACGTGTTCGTATATGCTAGTCTGGAAGCTCTAGCTACACTGGGTCACCGGCATCTCTTCTCATGAGCAATTCAAAATTGCCCACATCAAAGAGACGACCCGACCCGTAATATAGAGATCCTGCTTAACTGGTACGTAGTTATTAAGGAATATTTTACCCCCAATAGTTTTAATTGCCTGATAATCAAATATAACTGACCGAGTCGCTCTTCTGTAATAAAAAATCTTACCTTGTTCCGTGTCAAGCACAGTACCTAACCAGGTCAATTTATGAACTGGGGAACATTGGGATTTCTGTTCTGTTCAGACTCCAAGGTATAATTAGCGCCAAAAACGTCGTCAAGACGATTTTACCCTCACCCCGGCACTTATTCACCAATGGTTGGAGTACCCCGGTAAAGATATATTGCCATGAACACAAGCCAAACGCATCTTATACCACCAAAATGTAGGAGGGATCTAAATAATGACAGTGATCCAAAAAACTATCAATGTATTTATAACCGGATATAAGGTCGACCTTAATCAGAAACTTACCTGGCTTCATTTCTTGTGCTGTTCTTATGTCTTCACAACGGAATTTGTTTTAAATACATTGTGGTTAACTCGATCAGTTAATGGCCACTGACAGTAGGTTACAAACAAAACGAGGCTCCGTCACCTCTTCAACTGCCGTTGTAGCATTTCAAATCACTAAATGCAATCCAAATTATGCCGACCTGTTATTATTCAGAAAAAAAAGGGCATGGGGCTAAAAAAAACTCAATCTTGTATTCAAATTGAATGGTATTTAATACCAAGGAAAGGGCTTTCATTTCTACCCAGACATTGAGACAAAAATTTCAACGTCCCATGACGACAATAGGACCACTCCTAAAACTACCCACAAGTGGGACATGCCGTAAATTGCAAGTGAAACATTAATATTGTGTCCCAATGGCGGCAAACTGTTTTATTCCCCACACAATCCCAACATTTCAAGCCGATCTAAAATACAAAGACCAGTAAAGTCACTTGCAAATTCCACGTTTTGGTCTTGACCGGCCATTGCAGAAGTGGCACTGTACTCGACTCGATAATAACCTGCCTACCCACATCAAAAGCAGTCTGCTTTCTGAACCTTGCTGCCGATTTCCTAGAATATGTAGAGACGATTCCCATCGTGTCGCAGGTAATTGCTGACAAATTGACAGTGAAAATCTTTTGTAAAAAGTTTTGTATTTTTGTGTGTGTCTTTTCTTTTAATTTATTGTTTCCTTAACGACATCGTACTTGGTCGATTCAATAGCATCTTTCGATGGTCGCTCATTTTCAAGTTTTATTTGAATTGGTTTTTGAGAATAAATTTAACTAGTTGCGTCGTTGACAGAGGAATATGCGGACCAGCGGAATTGGCATCGCTAAGGTAGACGATTAAATTGTATGCTGAGACGTGAAAATAATCATGCGCGAGATATTCTGGTGGTAAGAACTTAGCATGTACATTGGTTGGTACGGCATTTGCTGGCTAATTCAGTCGTGTTGTATATAATTCTATTCTTAACCAAATGTTTAATTCCAATCATATATGCATTGTACAGCTGGTGGCTTGCTAGATTTATGTAGTTAGACATAATGACTGCATTATGATCGAGTCATCGATGTCGTGGTTGATAAAAAAAGGGGAATCATTCTTAGACCAGTAATGTATTGGATATTTTTCATCAAAATTGTTCACCTGGTATCAGTGCTACAAATCAAGTAAGCATTCAAGGTCACTAGTAGCATAGTGGTTGTCGCACCAGACTTATGATCGGTGAGCCCCAACACAAATCCTACATTTGGCTGAACACCATAAGGGGTTGACCCCCTACCCTGTGTAAGTTTGCAACAGACTATACTTTCTATACTTTATAACTATCAATATACTTTCTATGCAAGAATCGAGAATTTATGTAAGTAACTCAGATGGTAAAAGTACTGTAATGATATAATGTTCCACATTTGCTAGTTTTCTTTATTAAGGATGGATAACAGTCATGTGTTATGAAATTATGTACCTGTATTAGTTAGATCGTTAGAGGTTCTTGTTCACATGACAACTACAACATACTTCTCAAAGGTGTGCACCGTTTGGTATTACCACAAACCAACATTGTCGATGTTTAATCAAAATCAAATACTTTTTTAAGCTTGTTTTGATAGGCGAATTCAAGAAATCTTTATTGTCTGAAACAATAACTATCACTCACATATAGGTACAACATAAACAGCAGCGTGGAATAAAATTAATATGTTAAGCTGATTAATATGTTAAGCTGATTGATATTTTCACATTTTATGGGTATTATGACTTTGAATACAGTAAAATTACAGGAGGCAAAAGAAACATAAAGGGTACAACGAGAGTGGCAACAACAAACAAATAGTAATAGTTTCATAATGGTATTTATGTAAATTTATCTTTTATCTGAAGGATTATGGCAGTGATAAACGTGATACGAATCTTTGTTTGCGCACTATACATAGTACCATTGTGTAACGCCAACGTATTAAGAGTGAGTAGGGATAATTTCTCATTGAAACATCAAATTTGTATGTAAAAGCATTATCATAGCTATTGAATGCTTGGATCGATTATATGATATTATATTTATTAGGCGACTCGAGTGTGAATGAATCGGTAATTAAGGCATAACTTTTCTTTAAAGTGTGTCTTCTAATATTGTCTGTGTGTTATTTTATTTTATTTTCATATGTCATAAACGTATGTTTACTATGCTAAGAGGCTGAATATTTTGGTCATAGTGTTGCAAAACAATACGGCTCGATGTGCTCAATTTAGTTCACCATAAAATAGGTTATAGAATGTTGAAATCTAAAAATATTCAGTATGTTGTTATAATTTTTTACACCAAGGAATATGAATCCAAACGACACATGGAAATTATACGGCCAATTGGTAAGTGCCCACAATTCTGATCAGCAGATTTTTTGTTTGAAAGTTTATATAACGTTTACATCTATAATGATAGCGTGGTTAAGTTTGTGTTA